AGTGACATTTGGATTAACCGTGTTGGTGATAGCTCTAACAGGCAAGCTCAAGCTCTCGGCTCTGCGGGCAAAACGAAAGAGCTTCAGCCTTCAGGTAAGGTAGGCTGTGAGGTGTGTGTGCGATGTGATGCTCATTTGAATTGCCATTCATTGGATTTACCCCTCAAAGTTGTATTTCCTACATTACCCTAGGGATACGGTAATAGCAAACCATCAGCTCTTAAATTATTCTACATCTTCCAAGGGAGTCATACCTAAGTACAGGTAGGATTACATGCATGACAGTCACACCGATTTAAAACTAAAGAATTAGGTATTTAAAGTGATCATTCACTTCCTCAGCCTTTTAACTCTATTTGAACGAAAAGATTTCCCATCTTGAGAAAGTCAACTGCTACTCTTGTACTTCTTTCATTATTGTATCCCTCCTACAATCATTGCCAAACTTACTCCATACATCTACTTGTCTATCGACTCTCCTCACTTACAAATCTTGTCTATCCTTCATCTCTTTGCTATTCCAGATTACTTGTGATTAGGAATCATCATTTGACTTGGTATTAACCTTTCTATCACCAATTCACGGATATCAAGGCGACCTGCAGCAGCTGAAACCAAGTCAATATTCACGAGGTACTAAGTAAGTGTCTGATGATCAATCTACCCGTCAGCAAACAATCAATCTGGTGATTGATAGACGTAGCCGTGCAAGAGTTACACTTCATTTCTCTAACACACGGCTGCAACTACATCTGCAGGTATTTTGGTACTTTGCATATACAGCAAAAAAGGCTTTGGTACAATTAGTGAATCTGCAAGTTTTGCTCATTTAAGTCAATTCCAAAGACCAGGCTAACTCAAGCCTCATCAACTCAGGTCATTAATTGAATTTGAACCGTACGATAATTCATCCGCAAAATACAACCTGCCACCATAAAATCTCAAATTAGGCAGTCAACCACCAACAACACCATTCCAACTTCACAACGATTTAAACCTTCCTCATATCTTTCTTTCGCAACGGCTAAGTTATTGAGATCAAGAAAGGAAAAGGGTTGGTCGAACAAGATGGATACCCCAAGTTCGAGCAAAGGTAGTGATCAAGTCAATGAGAGGGAGGAGCCTACGACTGTGGTTGTGGGAGAAGGACCATCAACTGCACAGATTGAGGTTAAACCGCGACAAACTACGGATAAACACTGCAAAACCAAAAAATCCAAGAAGGAGAAGGCAGATAAGAGTTGCAAATCCAAAAGCAAGAAAATTAAAGAGGCAGTGGAAACTGAGTCTGAGAGCGAAATTGATGAATCTTCGGATTTAGATTCTACTTCCTCTTCTTCCAGTGACTCCGATGATTCAGAGACGGAAACTGAAAAGGAGAAGAAGAAGAGAAAGGCAAAGTTGAAGGCCAAACAAAAGCTCAAGGAAAAGCGTAAGGCTAAATCAAAGAAGAAGGCTAAGAAAGATGTGGGTATCAGTTCGTTCCATTTTTAAATACGCTAAATACTAATATTCTCTAGGATACTTCTGACTCCGATTTATCTTCCGATTCAGAATCCGGTTCGGATAATGAATATGAAGAGGACGAAGACGATTCCAGTGATGCTGAAGCCGATGAAGATGCCGATGAGGTGGTTGACGTTACCAATGCTCAACTTCAGGCGCAATTGATGCAAATTCAAGCACAACTCCAAAGAACTCCAATATCGCACCCTCCTACACAATTACCACCCGCGGTATGGAATTTACCACCTCCACCCGCGGCATCAAATTCCCTTCCTCCTGGTACAAGACAGCTCCAAGCTTTACGAAGAAAGCTTTGGTTGGATGAGAGGAATCAAGGAAAAAAGGGTAAAAAGGATAAGGGCAAGAAGAAGAGAGGAAGCAAGTTGGAATACAAGAGAGTCGATCAATTATGGGATAGCACAATTCATAATTACAAGCTTACCGATACTGCGGAAGATGAAGAGAGCTCGGAATATGATCAATATCTTTTCAATGTTCGCCGAACATTTGATTGGGAGGGAAAATATAAGGTACGCTTCCGAATTTTCTTGCTAGATCATCTGCTAACATTCCAAAGGCGACTGTTGTTGATATCAAGAGCAAACTTTTGAAAGAAGCTCTCAATGAAGCCATGGATGGTGTCAAAGGTGTTAGTTTGGTCGAAGAGACACCATGCATTGACCCCAACCTCCTTTTCCTGTACCTCGAGGACCTCCGAAAGTCTTGCAAACAATTGAAAAATAAGAAGGTTACCGAAAAGAAAGGCAAGAAGAAGATCAAGAAGAGAAATGAGACCAAGAGAAAACATCTCAAAGTTCTCTTGAAATATCTCGACAAGGATTATGCCTCCACTAAGAAGACTCTCTATCCCATGTTGGAAACTGGAATCATAACATTCGATCTGCTCTGGGCCTTGTATAAACCTAATACTTTGGCTTATACTACTACTTATGGAACCATTGATGAGCCAAGAGCTTTCAAAATCGAATTGGCCGAAAAGAATATCAGTTTCATGAAGGGAACTTGGTATAATATTGAGGGTAAATATTTGGAGTATGATGGAAAGACGTGGGGAATGGGTATGTTACATCTATGTTCCACCAAAATAATCCACTAATGTCATTATAGGTACCATGGATTGTGATGTTCCAGCTTTCAAGGGTGCAAGAAAGATTACAAGTCTTAATTGTTATCCTTTAAAATATCACAAAAATGAAGCCAAACTTCGTACCGAACTTATCGAGAGAGGTAAGAAATTTGTGGCATTACAAGGTGTTCACTACAAGAGTCATAAGGGAATGGCATATTACAAGAAGCGTAAAGCTATTGTCAAAGTCAATATTGATGGTAGAGTTATGGTCGACCCCGCTATTCATCGACGAATCCTACCAAATTATAACGTCAGCACCGTCAAGCCTAATGATCCAGATCTTATCGATGATTCGGATAGCGAGGATTATGAATGTGGTTGTTGTGGCGATGACGACTCCGATGATGGTCAAGGAGATCGTGGATTGGAGAAGAGAGAGGATAATGATGAACCAAAGATGAAGCTAAAGGTTGTTCTCGATGAAAAGGAGAAACCTCATCTAGTTTCAGTTCCTGTCGATGAAGATGGCAATGAAGTTGTTGTTGAGAAATTGGATGAGGTTCCAAGTAAGATTACCAATAAGGACAACAAGGATGAAACGGTACAGGCAGAAGATGATAAGAAAGCTCTTCCTATCTTCACAGATGAGGAATACTTAATCGCTTCTCCTGTTGTTCTTGGATTCGCTTTTGCTGAAAAACTTTGGCTCGAATTCACAGTTTCAGGTATCAAAGATATCGTTTGGAACGAAGGTGCTTACGATTCTCTTGTCTTAGAAGACAACACTAAAGCTATTGTCAAAGCTCTCGTTGAATCCCACAAATATCATCCAGCCGAAAGTATCGATGATGTTATTCAAGGTAAAGGTAAAGGACTTGTGGCTGTTCTTCATGGTCCTCCTGGTACAGGTAAAACTCTCACAGCAGAAGGTATATCGGAACTTCTTAAATGTCCTCTCTACATGGTTTCAGCCGGAGAACTTGGTACCGATCCACGGACTCTTGAAGCAGAACTTCAAAAGATCCTTGATATTGCACATGCATGGGGTGCAGTTCTTCTCCTTGATGAAGCAGATGTTTTCTTGGAGAAGAGAACAATTCAGGATATTCATCGTAATGCTTTGGTTTCTATTTTCTTGAGACTTTTGGAATATTTCCAGGGTATTCTTTTCTTGACTACCAATAGGGTTGAGACATTTGATGATGCATTTCAATCAAGAATTCATATCGCCTTGAGATATGGAGATTTGAGTCCAAAGGCAAAGAAGAGTGTTTTTAAGATGTTTATCGAGAGAGTTAGGGTTTTGGAGGGTATTGATACCATGCCTTTTACCGAGGAAGATTATAATACTTTGGCTAGGAATAATTTGAATGGAAGACAGGTATGTTTTTTTCTTCGTTTTTTATATCTCTATCTTTCTTCCTTTCTATCTTTTGGTTTGAGAATATAATTAACATAATGCTTTAGATCAAAAACACAATTCGTACAGCTCAAGCTCTCGCTGTCAATAATAAAGAACCACTTTCTATGGAACATATCAAACGTGTGTTGGATGTTTCAAATGCTTTTGATAGGGATTTGAAAGGAGGAACAGGGTTTGAGGATGCTATGAGAGGGTACTTTTAATTTTCTCTATTATTGCTGGCAATGGTTGGGATAGGATGGTGGAGTGAGGTTTCTTTGGGCATAAACAAAATCAATTTTTAGTGGTCTGTCTTTTCCATTTATTTTAGATTTTTGGGAAGGGATGGGTCGGGGAAATGGAATGGGAGGGGAGTGGAGTGGAATGGTAATCATTGGTATTGGCAATGTTCCCCACTCTTGTATGATTTTGGGTTGATTTTCTTTGGAGGCTTTGATGGTTTTGGGATGGGTTGTGGTTTCGGGTGTGCGATGCCAGAGGATGGGATGGGAAGGGATGGGAAATGATACAATACATATGGTAGGATACATATGTAGGAAACATGACAGAGAGATTAGGGATCGTGATCTCATGAAATGAGGTAGTAAGTAGTTCGGACAGGAAAGAAAGGATATTCGGGGCGGGATATGATGGCATGAGATGGATGGTGCAACTTTTCCATTTTGCATACATACCTACATACCGACGTATCAGCCAAGTCTAGTAGTTTATGAATGAATAGCATGGATAGCATGAATAGCAATGCAATGGATTTTTACATATGATTACTTTCACCGTATCTATTTACTCGTATAGTATATCTCTCACTAATATACTAATACACTAAGATCAATAGGAAATTTCTAGAGTAGTTCCATCAAAAATCACCCCACCCCCAATCCAATTTGCCCCTCCCTCACCAATTCACCCCACCAAATTCCCCCTCCCCCATCTCTCCCACAAACCTAACCCCAATTAACGCACGCAAATCACAACAAAATTGGGGATGTAGTATAGTGGTATTATGTTCGCTTCGCATTTTCTGGATTTGCGTACAGATTTTATTTGTGCATGGATAGATGGATCATTGTGTGTTTGTGAAAGGTCCCCGGTTCGATCCCGGGCATCTCCATGGTTTTGGGTGGTGGTTTTGTTGGTGGGGGGAGAGGGAAGGGGGGGAGTAAAGAAAGGGGGGGAAAGGGAGAGGAGAGGAGGTGGTTTGGGTTATTTTTGGTGGGGAAAGAATGGGGAGAAGAAAGGGGGGGAGAGGGGGCGCGGGTTTGTTGATGTTGTTTTGATGGGGGAATGGAGAATGGAGAATGGGGAAGGGGAAAGGGGCGAGGGGGAGGGGGAAGGTGGTTTTTTTATGAGAGGAGGAGGAGGAGGAGGGATACGTGGAGTCGGTTGGTGGTGGTGGGTGGGTAGTGGATGGAGGAGTAAATGAGTGAGTATCTGTTTATCTGTTTTTATTCAACTTTTTTTTTTTTTTTTTTTTTCTTCTTTTCGGTTGAGGGATGGAGGGAGGGAGGGGGAGAGGATTATCTTGGATGGATGATAGATTTAGATGAGTTGCGTATATAATAGATATTCTACCTGAGGATTTCTTTCTTCCTTTCTTTCTTTCTTTCTTTTGCAATTCCTTTGGTGGGGTGAGAGGGGACATTCGGAACGGAGTGTGTGGTGTGGTGGGGTGAAGTATAGTGGGGTATCCGGAAGCACGGTGATGAATTGATACCTAATGAATGATGGATGGATGGATGGATGGCACCAAGATACCGCTACGGAAGTGTGAATGAAGAAAGGAGGGAAAGAAAGTCAGAAGAGGGCGGATCAAGCGGAAGAATGAATAGAATACCAATGAGTTACATATAATGAGCAATATACAATTAGTGAGGGAGAGCAAGGGAGGGAGTACAGTAATGACCATCTTTCTCGGATGGCTTCACTCCTCTGTACAGAAGAATTGAGTTGAGTTAAGTTGAGGCAAGTTTGGGTACTTGATGTTAATTAGATCCAGGAATGTGAGGATGGAATCCAAGTGAAGGATGACATCGGCGCAAATCTTAGAGTCCTATTCATGTTAGGAGACACTTCCAAAAGAAGGAAAATAACTGAGATACATAAACACAACATAGAGGAGAGCCATTTCATTATAATTTACATCGCTTGCAAAATACATGCTATAAATCAGATATCATAACCAAATACATTTCATCTAATTCATTCAAAAATCGAAATCTTATCTATTTTCCTTCCTTCCACCATACGTGTACATACATGCGATATAAAAACGCGAGTATTTGATTGGAATTCAAAAATTCAAGGATTCATTTCAATATCATTTTAGGATATTGAGATTTGTAGGTGAATTTCGAATTATTTGATCATAAAGGTTTTGAGAGGGTTTTTTGATTTAGTTTCCTGGGTTCTTGGCGACGAATTCAACACCCTTTTGGATGTTCTGTAAAGGTGTGTTAGTTTATATCTAAACATGGCATAAGATAATGTTGGTATCACGAAAAAACATACCTTCTTCAAATCAGCCAAGCATGCCTCCAACAACTTCTCCTCGACAGCATCAACCTTTCCAACTTCATGAATCTTTTGAACACCATCTGGTCCCAATTCAACCTTGCTGGCAAAGAAATCAACACCTTGATCCTTGTACAATGGGCTGTCAACGAAAGTTGGTTCAATAATACCAGCTTGTCCTTGGGAAGCCTTCAATAATGATTCGGCCATACGGGCACCAGCCATAGCCATGGAAAGAGTAGCAGATCCAGCACCATCCTTAGCTTGAACAACTTCATCACCACCGAATTGAACACGCTTAAGAAGGTTCTCGTTACCGACGAGATCTGGGTGGGATGATTGAGAGAAAAGAGGAACAATGGTAACACCAGAGTGACCACCAACAACAACAATGTTCTCATCAACAGGGTTAGTCTTCTTGATTTCACTGACGAATCTGCTAGCTCTAACAACATCCAAAGTGGTAACACCGAAAAGTCTCTTTGGGTTATAGACTCCCCTAGCCTTGAAGATTTCGGCAACGATTGGAACAGTTGAGTTAACTGGGTTGGAAATAACGAGGATGTTTGCGTTTGGTGCAGATTCAGCAGCAGCTTTGGCGAGATCGCGAACAATTGATGCGTTAGTGTTGAAGAGGTCATCACGGGTCATACCCGGTTTACGTGGGACACCAGCTGGGATCAAGACAATTTCAGCATCTTTGAGAGCAGCGGCAAGACCAGATGGTGTTGGCTCATATCCAGTAACCTTGGACTTGGTGTTGATGTGAGAAATATCTGCTGCGACACCTATTTATCCAATTGAATATCCTATTAGCATATCTGTAAATCTAATTCCTTTTCGACTTTGATCTTCTCAACAATATTACTATAAGAAATGATGCCGACGAACCTGGACCTCCACGGATATCGTATAAAGCCAAATCGGTAACGAGAGGATTTAACTTGAGGAGAAGAGACAATGGTTGTCCAATTCCACCAGCAGCACCGAGAACTGTAACTTTAGAGAGCTGTTTTGAGTAAAATTAGTTGGAGGTTCATAAATGATGGAGCCAGGTTAATAGCTGGAAGAAATATTAGATGGAACAATAATCTTACATCTCTAGCAGAAGCAGAAAAAGCTCTGCTTTGAACTGCTCCAGTCAATGCTCTTCTTGCGGCGAACATGATGTGAAAATATATTATGTGGTGGTGAAAAGAAGAAAGAGTGTTGTGAATTGAATATTTGATGAGGGACAGAAAAGACTTTCGGTGGAGAGGAATCTTTCGTAGCCGTAAGCTATGTTTGTGCTGAGGAAAGTTCCCGGCTTGTTCCCGATCGTTGAAGCTAAGCTTAAATAGGGAAGAGGAGGAATTTTAATGTATCACGTGTTGAAATTGGACCGAGGTCGGCAATTGAAAGATTTGGTTATTTTCGGAGATGATAGATCATATATTAAGATCATATATTAAGATCATACATACATACGGAGTACATAGATCATTGAATGAATGAATGAAATCTTTACTACCAGCGCAGCAGCTATGGGACGGTTTTTAAGGCCTTTGTCCCTATAATCATTCAATCGAAATGACGCTCCGCTGGCCCTCCGGGGGCCACTGCCGTGGAGGCAGACTATTTTCAAATCTGTTACACATCCTGATATATATATGATACGGTATCGTTGGACTTTGAATTAAGGGCGACCGTTGTACACATGAGGGTAGGTAGACTTGATTCTCCGTTTGAGAAGTACACACTCAATCGTTGAAGTCTGGACTGAGCCTACAAACTGGCTATATATCTTTCCCTTCATCATATCCTCTCCCCTTTGGCTGAATTGCTTTTCATAGTTGAAAGTAGATTTACCTTCTCTGTATTCAGGCCAAGTCTTCAAGCTGGAGAACATGTCATTACCATCATTCACCACAAGTCAAGTATATCCATATTTTAAATTTTGATTGGGAATGGAATTTACCATCAGATTTCGAGTTATCCTATCCTAGCCCATCGTCTAAAGAACTCTTATTGTACAAACCACCATTGAGCATGAAATGTAAACACTATCTACGCCATAAATTTGTCTTTCTAACAATAATTTTGGATATTGGTACTGTTTCCAAGTCGTTCCATGTTTACCCGATCATTCACAGTCATTTGATTTCACTCATCCAATATCTAAATATCTTACCAAGATATTAATTGTTGAATCCAAGCAAGTGCCCTTTTTGTGAGGTTTAGTGATCTGATTCGCGCGCTTGAACAGACTGTCGTCGATCCAATTCTACTTCTGATCCGGATAAATTAGAAGCGCAGGGGGATACAAGGTGGGGTTGTACAGAAATGGTAATATTTACAACTTCACATATCAGCCTGAATACAAAATTCATGACTTTCATTGACACAAAATATATAATATATGTATTTGCACGGGGAGATTTCTCTTTTTCTTTATGATTCAACGTTTTTTTGTAACACGAAACTACAATCTCGTTTACACCTTTCCAACATAAATCCATTAAGCTTATTTCCTCCTATTCCCAACATGTCTAATGGCATTCTTCGAGTAAAAGACGAGCAAATCGTCGATGCCTCCGGCAAACCAGTCATACTTCGTGGAGCTGGTCTGGGAGGATGGATGAATATGGAGAATTTCATAACTGGTTATCCAGGCCAAGAACATCAACATCGAGCTGCCATGTTAAAAGTTCTCGGCAAGGAGAAATATGAATTCTTCTTTGATAAATTCCTAGAGTATTTCTTCATGGAAGATGATGCCAAATTCTTTGCTAGTTTGGGATTGAACTGTTTACGTTTGCCATTTAATTATCGACATTTTGAAGATGATATGAATCCTAGAGTTTTGAAAGAAAGTGGTTTCAAACATTTGGATCGTGTTATTGAACTTGTAGGTGGATAACATAGCCCCATGTCTACAAATATTGATAGAAATAGTGCGCCAAACATAAAATTTACACCATCCTCGATATGCACACGGTGCCTGGTGCCCAAAACCCAGACTGGCATTCTGACAATCCATCCAACTATGCCTCATTTTGGGATCACAAAGATCATCAAGACCGTACCATCTGGCTCTGGTCACAAATCGCCACCCGCTACCGCGATAACCCCTGGATAGCAGGCTACAACCCTATCAACGAACCCTGCGATCCATTGCACCACCGTCTCTCAGAATTCTACACTCGTTTTGAATCCAAAATCCGTCAAATAGACCCCTCTCACATCCTTTGGCTCGACGGAAACACCTTTGCAATGGAGTGGAAATCCTTCAATACCATCCTTCCCAACTGCGCCTACGCCCTCCACGATTACTCCTCCATGGGTTTCCCCACCGGTACCCCCTTCACTAATTCCCCCTCCCAAATCACCCACCTCGAATCTAGTTTCCTACGTAAATGCACCTTTATGAGAGACCACAACGTTCCAAGCTGGAACGGCGAATTCGGTCCCGTCTACGCAGACTCCTCACTCGATCCAAACGCCTCAGAAATAAATGCCCAACGCTACTCCCTCCTAGGCGCCCAACTAAAAATCTACGATAAATATCAAATCCCCTGGTGCATATGGCTATACAAAGATCTCGGACTCCAAGGCATGGTA